GGGGGAACGAACCAACCCTGACCTGCTGCTGACGCTGTGCACAGCTCAACGCAGGAGGCAGCTTTCTCTCCGCCTTTCAAAGCCGGGTACGCATGGCTCCCATGCAGACTTTTCCCTGTGATCGTTTCTACCTTTGACAGCCGGGTCCGGTTTCCTCGGCAGCCAGATCTCCGTTGTGGCAGATGGACATCCGTCATCCCCGGTTGTCAAACCCTTAGCTGAACGTCCGTCAAATATTTCCGATGCCTTCCAGCACAGGTGGGAGGGCGCAGGAGTTGGAAGCTGTTAGTACCTTACGTCGTGTGTCTGAGCATAAGAAAAGACAGCTTTTCCTTGTGCTTAGTTTTGTCTGAGCTGTACTGGTGCTTCAGAATGCCCCAAATATACTTTTTTTTCCTCCCCAAAGTGCATCTGTAACCATGTGTTCAACTATCGATCTGTAATATCATTCATTTGATGAGGAGCAAGCAGGGAAGGGGGCTATCGCATTCAGTGCCCTTCAGATGCACTCCCAGATGGGTGTCAGAAGTGGCAGAGAAATCTCTCTTAAGTTTATTATCAAGCATGTTTAGTCCTGGATGATTTTTTTTTTTTTGGACTTGAAGCCCCGCACGCCCCAGGGTGAGAGGACGCCTCCTTTTCGTTAGAAACCCAACCCCTCGGGGAACGAACTGACTTTTGCTGTAGCCGCCACTTCAGGCAAATAGCGCTTGCTCCTTTTTCAGTAATGAATCTCGCTTTGTTGCTTTGTACAGTCATCCAAGGGACTCTCAAATATATAAACAATAATTTGAGGATCACTTTGTTTTCTCTTCCATGGTACTGGCTCTTTCTGGAGGTGTGGATCAGTCAGCCCTGCTCTGTCTGCTGCTGCTGTCTCCGGTCCTGGGAGGAGAGGATCTTTTGCTTCGTTTCAACCAAAGATGCACGATAGATTACGTGGTCTGACCCGATCCGTGCGGCAAGAGCCGTGATGAAGCTTAATAGGGTCGTCGCTTAAGTATGGATACAGAAATACAGCACAGGCTTTTCTCCTGGAGGAATATAGTCTTTTTGCACAGAGGGGCAAAGGAGTGGGCTGTGAGCGCTCTGGTTTTGTAGAGCTGGTGGTAGAGAAGCAGCTTTTTGTCAAATTCTCCCATCCATGACTACCAATGTCCTCTCGGAGTGCTGCAAATACCCACTTGCCCCGGACTGGCAAATAAAATCTGCGTTAATTTTGTAGTAAGCGGAGTCTTGCACCATAGCCTAGCAAATATATCACGGTCCTCTTACTGTTACTGGGTTCCCTCAAGCGCAGCTGACCTTTTAATCCATTTTACACCTCAAAAGTTCACTTGCATTTGTGTCCTTTTGTTTGTGGTTTGGCGTGCGGTGTTTGTCCTGTTAGCAGAGTGGGAATTGTAGTCTTTTCTCGGGAGCAATCTACGGAGTGTGTTTTGATGCGCTTGCAAAATCGCAACTCCCAGACCTAAAGATTTGACTATTTAAACTAGACTGGGTGCAACACGTGGATTTGTATACAAAGGGAAGATGGCGTGAAGATCACTGCACTTGCTGCTCGCAACGTGGTGAATCTTTTATCCATCATTTTTGTTAATTATTGTCTGCGGGCAGTGCACGGAAGGAGCTGGCTCTGAGGATAAGTGCAGCACGCTGTATCTTTGCACTGCTTGGGCAGTCTGTGACTAGCTGCAGCATTTTTTTGGTGAGATAAGGAGTTATTTCCCCATTTTGCAGACAGGAGCAGGAAGCAGGCAAGACTCTTCCACCCTTCTCGGTGCCCTGGGGGTGCAAGATTTCGGGTCAGCTTTTGCTCTGACGGCCCTGCCGGTGCTGCTCCTGCTGTTTGTGAGCCCAGGCTGGCTGCAGGAGGAGCTCCCTTCCTCCGCACCCTCCTCCTGTGCTGGTCACTCCAACAGAATTGAGCATTCATAAGGATAAAATTCAGATCTTAAAAAGAAAGAAAAAAGTGGATATTTTGTGCGTCGGATAACTGCTTGCACCGAGTTGACTAAAGCCCTTACACAAGTTATGCTGGCTAACAGGATTACTTGCTTTGACGACGCTAATTACTTAAGTACTCGTCCTCATCCCCTGCTGCATGGGGGAAAGGGGCATCGCTGGGTTTTGGTTTTGCCCACGCCGGGGCTCCAGTGCATGCTTCTCGTGACTCTCTGGTGTGTGGAGGATTTTTTTCATGCAGCTCCCACGAAGCTTTTGAAGTGCTCGACAGCTCTGGGTGCGCCGCGGCACGGGCGTCTGCTCCAGCCCTGCACGCCCGGCTCGGGGAATTGAGAAATCGTTTTTGGGGTGGGTTAGCAGGAAGCACAGCGAGTAGAAAACGGGCGATGTGGAGTAATCCCTCGCCTAGCGCAAGGTCTTTGCTGTGCATCTGCATCCCCAGGATGGTGCTGGTCTCTCTGGAGCAGGTTTTTCTCCTTGCGCTCCATGCTGGCTGCAGCTTGGCTGGCAGACAGGCACAGCAGAGGAGATGCCGGTTCCTTATCATTCCCAGCTCCTTGTGGGAGTGGAGCCGTGCAAAGCCAGCGAGGGAACTTACATAAAAGTTCTTGGCTGCTCGCATCGGCGTAGCCTCATATTTTATCTTGCATAACTCTGCTCGCTAGGGCTACCAAGAAAAGGCAAAGCAGACCATGCCAGGAGCTTTTCACGGATCTCTTCTGAATTGCGTGACGGGCAGTACTGCTCTTGTGGTCGCATGCCATCTCCAATAAGCTTTCTGTCCCGACTTCTGCGGGCTTTTTACTTTGTTAGGGTGGCTCCTGAGTCGGTGGCCGTGTGCGAAGGCCTGGGACGATGGGGAATATGGCACTGAACGGTTCCTGTTTCTCTGTTCTCTTCCTTATAAATCATTTGACCTTCAAGCGTTCTCTCGCTTCTTTTGGAGTCAGATGGCAGATGTTAGGACAACTGCCCAGTTTGTAGAAGTACTTACAAATCGTTTTCCAGTCCCAAAGCCTCCCTTGCCCCTCGCTCCGAGTCCCGTGCCCACGTTTCCACCCCGCTCCTTTTGGCCTCCCTTGTTCCAGCTGAACCTATTTGTGTCAGACCTGCAGCTTCCCCCTGCCTCCTTCTGCCGTGCAAACCCTGCCGTCCTTACGCAGACCCAGAGCGCGCGGGGAAGGCTGGAGAATATGTGAAATTCTGCAAAATGTCGACGTTTTCATCGGTAACCGGAGGGGTCGCTTTTTCTTTCAGCTGTAGAGATGAGGAATATATGCAGTAAAAAAATGTTGTCCAACCTGTGTTGGCATAAGCAGGGGTCTTGCTTAAACCTCTTTAATTGGCGGCTCCGTGGGGAAAACGCTGTGTGTGCCCTGGACCGTTCAAGGCATGCGGGGCACTTAGCAAGTACCCAGCAGAGCAAAACTTCCAAAGCGAGCGATGAAAGAGGGTACCGGCTCCCCTTTCATTATATCCGCTCTTGTTCTCCTCTGTCCTACATTTCACATTATTTGAAAATTGATGTTCGGCTCCAAAGAATCTCTTGTGCTGCCTTTCTGCTTTTTCTCTCTGCCTCCTGGGTTTCCAAGCTAAATAGCTGCTCTATTTGCATGTAAAAGAGATGGGTTGCATTACTGTTCGTCACTGTTATTATTTGACCAGCACTATCGTTTCGCCTGTTAAATTCAACACAGTTTGGCATATGGGATGTCTTCACTGGCTGATGGGTAAGGACATCGACTTCATTTGCATATCAGATATTTTTCTTCTCTAGCTGGATTACAGTTAAGTGCAAATCTGTCTTTCACCGCATGACATGATCACATCAGAAGCGGGAGATGTGGAAGCGATGGTACATTATCTAGTGAGTGGGTTTCGTTACACGCGGCGTGTGTTGGAGGGACTGCTTACTCAGAAGCAGGCTGGCACTGGAATCATTAAAATGGCTGTAAAAAGCCCGTTTGCCTTCCAGATTTTGGGGCGCTTTGGGGGATGCCCAGCAAAGATGAGGTGGTCTGTCCGTCTGCCTGCAGCCTTACGGACGGCGGTGCCTCCAAGACCTTTTGCAGAGGTGTGTGCTGTCCCTAAGGCCGGGAGGGTGAGCGGCAGCTCCCCGCGGTACCCACAGCAGGGTAAGAGGCTGGTGAGAGGCTTTTTTTGGGGCCGTCCACGCCGCCGTGTGTGCGGCATGAGTGTGCAACGCCCCGGGGAGCGCCCCGAAGCAAAACCCATCCCAGCATCTCCTCCTCATCCGTACTGCAGCATCGCTCCCTCGCCAGGGCTTGGTCCTAATCGTTGTGGTCCTGCTGTGATCTGGGGCGGGGGTTGAAAGGGCTGAACCCGGAGGACCGAGGAGATGCTGGTTATTGGAGATGTTTTGAGAAGGAAGCGGACTCCAGGACCTGAGACGATCTCCGCGCCGCGTCGCTGCGATAAGATGCAAATTGCTCTGTGGTGCGCGGGAGCCGCCGGCAGCCGGGCCACGCGTTTGGGGCTGTTTGACAGCATTTTGCTTCCAGTTTTTTCTCTTTTTCCCAAACATCCAGGCCTCCCTCCTGGGATTTATTTTAAATCAAGACACTATATAGCCTTGAAATATTATGCAGGGGTGGTGTGTTCTGCATCTTTTTCTTTTTTAAATTAGCCAGGCCCAGGAGAAGGTAGATGAGGAAGTCGGATGGGTCTCGCTTGTAACTATTACTTTTGTTTCATATGCTTCCTTTCTGCTAGAGGTCACCTTCTCATCAATAATACAATTGCCTAGCGTGAAAATCATAATAATGGCTTTTGATGGGGTGTTTTTCTGTTTAGGTTTGAAAACCAGGGAACGTGTTGCAAACAGAGAAGGCCTTACCTTGCCTTAAATGTCGGATTGCATCAAGATTTACCAATTCCTAAGCTTGGGGTTAGGCTTTTTGAAGTGGCCTGTACCATGCGAGGCCGTCGCCTGGTAAAGGCAGCTTCTGCTTTACGGGTACGTGCGGTTTCCTGACAAGCGAGAATTTTACATATTGGTCCTCCTACCTTAATTGCCAGTTCCTGGGAACCGGTGTGTGTTTTTTTCTTCTGCTTTTGCTGATATTTGCGTGCGGTCCTGTTTTAGTGCAACGTTATGGTGACAACTATCCCCACCGAATTAGCTTTGGTGCCCGCGTTTTCTGCGGGTGCATATGGCATTTAGTCTGCATACGGTGGCTTTTTAAACATGCTGAGGGGTGTTTTCGGTTGCTCTGGCAGCATAGCTTTTCTTCTTTCGGTATCCGAGAGCATAATTTCAGTGAAAGTATGTTTCTGAGTGTGCGCTCGTCTTGAGGCTTGGAACGAAAGCCTTCTGCTGAAAAGACTGTAATTCTTTCCCCCCCCCCTTCGAAAAGAGACGTGTTGCTAACTTCTTCGCTTCCATTTCCAGCTGTCCCATTTCCTCCCACGCAGCGGCTCACTCTGAAGGAGGTGTTTGAGGATGGGAAGCCTAGGCTTGACGTCTTGAAGAGCCACTTGGTAAAGGAAGGGCGCCTGGAAGAGGATGCGGCGCTGAAGATCATCAACGATGGGGCCGCCATCCTTAGGCACGAGAAGACAATGATTGAAGTGGAGGCTCCGATCACAGGTCAGAGCGCTTTCTGCAGCTGGAGTCCTAAATAAGGGCCATCTAGGAAGCACGAGCTGCTCAAAGTAGCAGGTTTTCTGCTGTGTTCCTTCCATCAGCAAGGTTTTTACGTTGCCTGAACTCTCAGAAGAGAGGGTTTTGCTGGTGTAGATCGAGTACATCTTTGCAGAAGCTGGATGTAAAGCAGGGGTGGCTTGGGTCAGAGCACAGCCGTGCTATGCTCCTTGTTGCTGTCATGACCTTTCTTTTCTTAGCGTGTAATTCTGTCCCTCTTTTGTGCTGTTCTTCCTCCCCTAGTGTGCGGTGACATTCATGGGCAGTTTTTTGACCTGATGAAGTTGTTTGAAGTTGGAGGATCACCCAATAACACCCGCTACCTCTTCCTGGGAGACTACGTGGACAGAGGCTACTTCAGTATAGAGGTGACAAATAAAGTTGAGCCTGGGGCTGCTAGTACTAACCGAACCAAAAGTGTTGAACTAAACTAGCAAACACAGACCTCTCTTACGCTGGATTTTATGCTCTACTCTAGTTCTGCATGCAAGGAAGAACGTGTTGTAGGTAGCTTAGGGTATGATTTTTGGCAGGAAAGTGATGTCCGAATATGATTATTTTCAATTGGATTCCCACCCAGTGACAGAGATAAACAGCAGCGGTGGGGTTAATGACTAAACTCTGGCTTCTGAACTCGAGTTTTAATATCACTTGTAGCTGTCAGTCAGGGGAACAAGAGGGAGAGTTGATTGTATGTTACAGGCAACAGAATCCTACCAGGCAGTGGGAAGCAAATGTTTAAAAACTTGCAGGATTCAGCTTAGCAGGGAAAAGAAAGTGCTACACTACTGAGTCACTGCTTCCCTACCGTCCCCCTGAAAGCATCAACCTTGCAATGCCAGAGACGGGGTCAGGAGAATGGAGCAATAAATCACCTGGACTGTTGTACGTCTTGCTGTGACCCAGGAGCTTAGTGCCGAGGCATTTAATTGTGTATCGAGCCATGCTGTGCCCGTGTGACAGTCTGCCTTGTCACAATAACGCTGTCACCGTACAGACATCAGCCAAACATCTGGCGTCGTGTTAGGATTTTGCAGCTCCATGGGATGCCACTGACCAAGTATTGGGTAACACTGCGAGTTGTTGGTCTTAAAGGGCAAAGGAATTGATGGGTCCTCGTGGTTGCTGCTGGCTCACTGAAGGTTGGGGAGCAACGGAGCAGGCGGTATGGGAGAGCCATTAGCAAACGCTGCAGACCCCAAGGGATTGCAGCCTTCTGGTTTCGCAGAGGCAGAGCCGAGTGGAAAAGGAGTGCTTATTCCAGTTGGAGGCAACGTAATGAGGGGCGTTTGGGGAAACGGAGGCATGAAAGGTGACAAAACTGGTCTGGAATAACAGAGCCAGTGGTTTCTCTTCAAAGAGGGAGGGTGCATACCACAGTGCAGGAATAGCTGAGCTTTTGGGTCTGCAGGGGAATCTTTCTCAGTTACATTTAGGGGAGGAGCTCTCATGGACAGCGATGAAGGTGGTTAATGCAAGTGCTTCTTTGAAGGATTCTGCAGAGGATTTAGGAGGGTACCGCCGAGAGCTTGTGCTTTAGCAGCGTCCTGGCTTACTTCCAGCCTTGCGCTTCGTGCGTTCCTAAATGCTGACGGTGAGCCAAGGTGTGACAACGAGCAGGTTCCGGGGTAGCGGGGACGGATGCTCGAGAGGCGGGGTTGCGGCTGTTGGGATTTCTGGTGGTGCTGGCAAGGAGGAGCCCCGTAACCCCTGGGGAGGAAGGGGAAGAACAGGCATCTGACCGCTTGTTTAAATGGCTTGGCTTGCGCAAATCGGGTTTGCAGTTTAAGTGCATTTACCTGGAAAAGAGATTATATTATAGCAGAGCAACTCTTTCTGAGACAAGACGTGGATCTTTTTTTTGTATTAACCAAGAAACCTTCAAATGAAAGTTGTCGTACCCTGTGTCTAAGCGTGAATTTTACAGATCCTGGGTGGTGAAGTGCTTCTCCCGCTCTCTGCTCTTACCCTGCGATTGATCTGGCGTGGGGATTTTACTCCCAGATCTGCAGAAACGAGTGCCCGAGTTGGGGATCGGTGCCCTCACCTCTGCGTGCTGTGATAGTATGAAAGAATTCCAGGGGGATGGATGATGAGTCCGCCTTGGAGAACAGTGGTGGTAGGAAGAGGTGTTTTGTTTTGTTTTTGTTGGTTTTTGTTTTGTGAAGAGGAAGGTCTGATAATTCACAGGTAAACCTCATCAGGTCTCTGTTGTGGCCTGACAGTCTGGCCTGTGCCAGGCAGCCCGGTGTTTCGGGCTCGAGAGCCTTGGGGCAGTCGGTCTTTATCAGCTCTGAGCAGAAAGTTTTATTTCATGCTGCTCTTGACCCACCTCCTTCCCCTTTCCAAGGGGAAAGTCACCGAGCGCTCCGTTACCCCACATTGATCTTTCACGAATCAGGGTGGGCTTTGATTAGTACATGCGGGGGCTGATCCAAATGTCACTGATAAAGCAGAATCTAGAAGACTTGATTCCCTTGTTCCTATTGATGCGTGCCTCTTCTTTCCACCTACTGCAAAGTGCAGCCGATGTGTTTTAAGAGATTCCCACCTGGGTGTGCAGAAACCGGTTTCTGTAGTGAAACAACAGGAGGTTTGAGCTGGCGTAGAGGATCGCTACGAGCAAAGAGTTAACAACGCCGAACGGGTGTCTTTGCGTTATATATATTTTTTAAAGACTTCTATAAAATGCAAAGCTGTAGCAGCTGGACTCTGAAGTGTGGAGATTGCCGATCTGTGAGCATTCGGGGTTTGGAGTTTTGATCGCTGTATCCCGGAGGCTCAGGTGATGGAAAGACATCCAGGTTTCCCTGGGCTTTCACCACTGGGAAGGGGGAGAGAGCCAGCATCATCAGGCTTTCATGAGTCACCGCACAAACTTGGGCATCCATGTGCTGGGTGGGGAATATTATCGATTGCCTGCCCAGAGCAGCTGATAATCATGACCTTTTAAATGAATGAAATGGGAGGTAATTGTATAATTGCATCCTGATGCAGGCAATCAGGAAACAAGATGCAAAACTGGGGGCCAAGGAGGTGTTAAGGTAAACTGTGTTGCTTGTTAGCAGCCCAAATAACCCTTGCAAGCTTTCCCCATTGCTGCAAGTATTTGGTTGTCAAGGTAAAAGGAGCAGTTTGTGGCTCAGACAAAACCTTTAAAAACCCCCAAAAGCCTCTGTTCATCAGCTCAGCTGGATGTCTTCAACAAATTATTTCTGGGCCTCTGGCTTAGGGAAATTCTCATTTAAAAACGTTCATTCCCAGTCAGTATAATGAGGCCATGAAGCGTGGTTTGGTTGGGTGTTGGGTTTTTTTGGGTTTTTTTTGTTTTTTAAAGAAAAGAGTTGTGTGGGGAGAGGGGAGGGAAGCAACCGTGTGAAAGCTGAGACGCCTGATCTCTAGTGGAAGAGGACTCTGCAAAGCGTTTGCTTTCAGTCCGTGCCGCAAAGCCGGCTGCGACAGCGAGACTAACCGCCCGTGGACTCAAACGCTGTAGCGAAGGGGCTGACGGGCAGCATGGAAATCGGGCTGAACACCTCCGTTTGGAGACGCTGATGAGACAGCCTCCTGATGAGGGATTCTCTCGTCAGTCTGCAAGCGGGAAAGATGCTTCCTTCGAAGTGCTTTAAGCTTTGAGTTACATCTCCTAGCCCCTTTACGCAAGAGAGGGCTGTGCCCCTGTTAGTCCATGAGGGACCATCCTGGTCCGTGAGGCCAGAACTGCCAGAATACAATGAATAGATTTGTTTTATTAAATGATAAAGTGAAACAATTATTATGACCAAAACCAGAATCTATGGAAAGAGTAGATTTATCAGTAAAGATGGCACGGTAATGGTGTACACCTTTGCCGGACTAGTTTTTTCAAATCCAATTACAATGGGACACATGGTCATTGTCTAATTACAGAATTGTACGTACGGTAATCTCGCCAGGATTGAATGCACTGTTTTATCCAGAATAATATTAAAGAGACCCAGTCAATATTGTAAGGTACGAGCGAAGGTAGAGCCGTGGGCCAAACGTGGGACCGGGATGCAGGAGTTTTGCCGTGCTGTCTCTTCTGTGCCTGCTCCGGGAAGAGCTGGTAGGCTCGATGTTTATAACTTTCTTGTAAATGCTGGGTTTTGTAAATGGTATGAGAGATTACGGTGTGGCTTGTTGCGGGCAGGTTTGGCAGCAGCCCCTCTTGCATTTGCTTTGGGTTGCAGGTAGCAATTCCTCTTGCAGTTCCCCCACCGCGACCTGCGGAGTGAAAGGGGGGGAATCAAATGGGGGCACGGGCACGAATGCTTGGCTTTGGGCTCCAAACCATAGGCAGAACAGGGAGAGAAGTAGAGTAGTTAAGCCATCATTGTCTGGAGTTGCTACTAGGCTATTGTAAACATGCAGTAATCAATTCCTGGGCACAGCGCCTTGAAAGTCTGGGAAAGGGATCTGTACAAAACGCCAGGAAGCATCTGAGGCATGCGAGTGTAGAAACCTCCCTCGTTCCTCCTTCCAGCCCCTCCGGAGCTGTTAAATGTCCTTTTACTCGTCGTTACCCCACTGGTACCTGGCAGCCCCCAGGTCCCTGGGAAATAGCTGCGAACCACGGGGAGCCGCAGCGATGTTTGCCCTCGACGTCTGTGGTTTGCTTGCTGTGCGGCCGGGAAGAATTGTGGTGCCGAGTGACTCCGTTGGCTTCCATTTCACTTTAAAACACTTCAAATGTATTTTTAAATCTCTCTTCTGCAAGTTGCTGACCTTCTATACATCCCAAATCCTCCTCTTTATTGATGGTGTGTCTCTACTTTCTTGCTTTGCTTTGAAGCAGTGATGCCAGGGCTGGTTGCTTTCTCCAGTCCTTAGCAAGTCGCCCGGTTCATTTACAGTGACTTTCGCTTTTCAGTTCTCATGCTAGCCCAGAAAAGTGACATTTAGGTTGCAGGTTAAAGCTTTAAATCATAGAATAATTATAAATGGTTTTGTTGGGAAAATTCCTCCTGTTAACAGATGCAGTAAAACATGATTTTTGCTAGCCTTAACCACAGCTTAAATTACCTGCCACTGGCCCTGTTTCTGTTCAATTTTAAAATTCAGAATTTGCTATGCAGTCTTTTTTGTGTGGGGTTGAATTCTGAGTTAGACACAGGCGGGTGCTTTACAGCTCCTTGGGGTTTTAGGGATCCCTGCATGTAGCTGGAATGACTAATGTAGAGCTTCCCTTGCAGGTTCAGTGCTTAAATACCATGATATCTGAGATGTCTGTACTGGAAACTAACTTGAAACTGGTTTATTTTGGTGCTGGAGGTTGTTTCCGTGCCACAGCAGCTGATTCCCGGAGATCTGTGCACCAGATCAGCAATGTTTTTAAGTGTCAAACTGTTGACAGACTTCATGGTTCACATTCTCAAAGCGTGTGCCGTTTCTGTAGCATGTCAGCCTAAAGGGTAAGCTCTTATTAGAGACTTTAATCCAGATCTTCAAGCTTGCTGTCATTATGGGTTGTCCTTCCAGCACTCAAAATCAACAAGGGAAATGTGATAACATTTCCCCATACTAGATACCTGCTGGTTTAGCTGTCAGCTTGACAACGTATAGCACGGAAGGGTAAGCGCGCTTGCTTTCCAGCCCTTCCCTTCTTCACGTAGCCTCTTCGGAAAGCCACCATGAAATATTTCTGCTGAAAACGATTGTTTCAGTTTGACTTTGGCCTGCGCCTCATCAAAGGCGATCTTTGTACAGGTGTCGCTGCTCAGATAGGGGATGTGGAAAGCCCTCTTCAAAGCCAGGAGGCTTTACTAAGCTTGTTTTTTGGCTAGGCTTTTCCTGTTTTGAACTTGAACTTCACATGACTGTAGCGTAAGCAGAAAAAAAACAGCGGCGGGGGCGGGGGGGAAGTCAGTGGGGAAGATGGAGTTTAATTTTTCTAATGTTTAATGCACTTGATAAAATGTCTGTCAAGATGGCTGTCTGTTATACTTGATGGTCTCTGGTTTTGATTGCAGGGGGACATCTGGAGCGCACATCTCGCTGCGCAGCTGGTTTTGCTTTGCTGCTCTGAAAATGGGTGCTTTTTGCTTTGGTTTCTGCTGGAAGGAAAAGCTGCCCCCACCCCGCCCAGAGCCGGTTTCAGTTGAATGCGATCTCATTTGTCACTTCTCCAACTCAGGCCTAATATAGAGAAATGCTCAGTGTGGCTTTCCCCCACTGGTGAAGTTGGCCAAGATAAGATCTACTGCCGATTATGGAGCTGGGTTTCTATCAGGGTTCCACTTTGAATTCAGCTTGTTGGGTGTCTTCCCAGAAACACTTAGTGAAGTCTACGGATGATTAGTGCCCTATAAAAGGTTTTTATTACATGCCATCTCCTCCTTCCCTTTCTTGCAGTGCGTGCTGTATTTATGGAGTTTAAAGATAAATCATCCCAAAACATTGTTCCTCCTTCGAGGGAACCATGAGTGCA